CGTGGGAAACTGGCCCCGCCCTCTTACGGGTTCGTTCTTCTTGTGTGTGTAGAAGAATCAGGAATTCCAGTCTAAAGATCGGGCATAAAGTCGGAGGAGTCGGCCCCATCTCTCATCCTCTCACTCTTCGTCATCAGCGGACAACTCTCATCGACTGTGTGATCTCGGACATCAACACTTACTAATAGAGATTATTTGTGACATAAGTTAATTCTATTTCATATCTCATTTTTAATGACTCATTATTACTTTCTTTCCAATTTTCTTCACAAGTTTCTTCCTAACCAAACAATGAAAATAACTTTATTTTCTTTTATTTTCCTTTTCCTATTTTTGCCCTTTCTTCTACGTTTTCTTTCCAGTTGCTTTCTCTCAAGCCAAACATAGCCGTAAGACAAGCTGACTATTTCGTAGGACCCAGGTTGCTCATACTTCGGTCGAGTCGGTTCATCTCGAGTCAATCATCGGAGTCTCAACAGATCCGAACTCGGAGCATCCCATCATTTTCAAAAATCCACTCCCCCCTTTCCCCTATTTATTCTCTTTGGAATTCTAGGGTTTCTCTCTCCCCCTCTCCCTTTCCCCTCCCTCACTCCTCAATCGATTTTTAGGGTTTCGCCCTTTCGAATTCGAAATCTCCAGTCATGTCTCTGAGGCCGAGCGAGAGGGCGGAGGTTCGCCGGAACAAGTACAAGGTCGCCGTCGACGCGGACGAGGGGCGGCGGCGGAGGGAGGACAACATGGTCGAGATCCGAAAGAACAAGAGAGAAGAGAATCTCTTGAAGAAGAGGCGAGAGGGGATGCAAGCCCAAGCCTTTCCCTCTTCGATCCCCGCTTCTACTGTTGAAAAAAGGGTATTCTTTTTTTCTTTTTTTGCCAATTTCAGTCTTTCTAGGGTTTTGAGAGTGGGATTACTGATTTTTGTTTTGAACTGTTTTAGTTGGAAAGCTTGCCGGCGATGGTGGCGGGAGTGTACTCTGAAGATAGAAATTCACAACTTGAGGCGACGACGCAGTTCAGGAAATTGCTATCTATTGGTAATCAACTTCATTAATTTGATGACTTTTTTCTCGTTTCTTTTGTGCTTTTGGTTGAAAACTGAGGAAATATTATTGTACTGTCACGAAAGAATGTAAATAAATTATGATAGAATAGAGTTTCTTTTTGTACGTCAATTGCAATTTAATGCATTTGCAGAGAGAAGTCCCCCAATTGAGGAGGTTATCCAATCTGGAGTCGTTCCTCGTTTTGTGGAGTTCCTTGTGAGAGAGGATTTCCCGCAACTGCAGGTGAGAGAAATGTTTAATTAATTGTTTTTTATTCGAGAACACGGGCGTTAGTTTTTAGTTTAAATGGTCAATTGTATTTTCATTATGTTGGAGCAGTTTGAAGCGGCTTGGGCTCTAACAAACATTGCTTCTGGAACTTCGGAGAACACTAAGGTTGTGATTGATCATGGTGCTGTGCCAATCTTTGTTAGGCTTCTTGCTTCGCCAAGTGATGATGTCAGAGAACAGGTATATGGTTTGTCTTCAGCTATTATAGCATATTTTATACTTCAAAAACCTTTGAAAATTTTCAGGAAGGCAATATTTACTTGATCTTCTTCTTTTCTTTTCCAAAGTGAAACTACAAGTACAATTTCAAGCACTGTAAAGGTCTGTCCTTTACCTACTGAGGGTTGTAGAAAGTCGATTGTAAGTTATCGTTGAGCTTCTAGGAACAGAGTAGCAGTAGTCTATTGTATAACATGTGAAATTAAACTCATCTAACATATGCATTATTCCTAGTTCTTGCTAGATAACATCATCTTTGGAGAAAAAGATTTCTTAGCATATGCTAAATGACTAATTTAGTGGTTTTCTGGCTGTAGAAAACTATCGTCTTGCATTAATATTGGCCTTGTTTGTCTTAGTTTTTATATTAGCTTGGACTTGCAAGACTATTAACTCAGAACTCACATACTTGGACATCTGTGTTTGTGAATAGTGTCAGAACATCTAGTATTCGCTTTGTTTCCAACCGAACTTGTTCACATTACATGTTCTATATCATCTCATATTTCAGTATTTTAGATTCTCGGCTTTGAATTGCTACTACTTATCTTCAATATAGGCTGTTTGGGCTTTGGGCAATGTTGCTGGTGATTCTCCAAAGTGCCGAGATCTTGTTCTTGCCAGTGGTGCATTGCTCCCATTGCTGGCTCAATTGAATGAACATGCTAAGCTTTCTATGTTGCGGAATGCCACATGGACTTTATCAAACTTCTGCAGAGGAAAGCCTCAACCATCTTTTGAGCAGGTGTGTTGCTTGTCTTGTTCTGATGTATATAGATTTCATGCGGTTTGGTCCTCACAAGCCTCTCCTTTCTTTTTTTTTTTGGTTTTTATTTGAGCAGACAAAACCTGCTCTTCCTGCACTAGAGCGTCTCATTAATTCAAATGACGAGGAGGTTCTTACTGATGCGTGTTGGGCTCTGTCATACTTGTCTGATGGTACAAATGATAAAATCCAAGCTGTTATTGAATCTGGTGTTTGTCCTCGGCTTGTGGAGCTTCTTCTGTATGTATTATTTTGTTTCTTCCTTCTCCCTATGGCTTTTGGTTCTCCTTAATTTCAGTTATTGAAATATATTTTGTGCTGAAATATCTGCAGCCATCCCTCGCCCTCAGTTCTTATCCCTGCTCTTCGCGCTGTGGGAAACATTGTCACCGGGGATGATGTGCAAACACAGGTACGTAGTGTTTCTAAGTCATTTCTTCTATACTTTGTCAATACTGTCATATTTGATAATCACCAGCATATAGGTGTTTGTCATTAAAAAGCATGTATTGTTGTGCTTGTTCAATATTCTTAAGAACTGGCCCTGCTTTTAATACAGTGCATGTGTTTTTGTGGTGAATTCTGTTACATGTCTTATTGGTTCTATATGCATAGTACTTCAATGTTGTGGTTCCTACATTAATAATGTCAATTTTATGATGTTTATGGTTTAAATTGTTAATAGACATTTTTGTTGCATTTTGGGCACATATATGTATGGCGTCAGTGAAGTAAGATGTGTGAGGATGTATTTGCTTAATTGCCATTTTTGCAACACAAGGAAATCAATGTACACATCGGAACTTTCTTATGCGTAAGTCATCCTCCTGTTGCAATCTTGCTGGACAATCCTAGGTCTGGATGGTCCTAAGCAGATTACCTTGCTGTGCAGGCAAATTGTATGTCAAGGCATGAGGACTAGAAGATAAAGATATCTACATAATCTGTTAATCTTTCTTCGGTCTGCATAAAAAAGAGTATTTCACTGAAACAAAGTAATTAAAAAGCCATTTAATGCTTCTGTTTAAAAAGGGAAAAACACTAAACCAAATGCTTTGAACTGGAGACCATTATTAATATTCATAGCAACACATAAGTTAGACCTCCTGAGGATAGTAAAAGAGTTTCATGCTAGGGGTCTATTTTCCGATAATCGAACTTCAAGGCTAGTAAGTTCCAGTCTATCTGCAATTACCTATAAGAAATTACAAACTAGGAGTTCTCTGGAACTGAGATTCCCTGCAAATTCTTGTAATATCTAAGCTAAACTGAACACTAAGCCCAAATTTGGATGTCGTAATAGTTTAAGCCCAAATTTAGATGTCATTATAGTTTCTCATTTGATGGGAATTACTATACCTTACATGATGATGATATTGAGTGGATTGATACCCATTGGTTTAGATCATATAAAAAAAAAATCTATCTTCTGAAACTCTCTATTCCCTCTTGCTTCATTCTCCACCATTGCACTTCACAACTACGAGACTATGATTTTAATTGCTCGACCTTCATTACTATTGTTATGTTGTTGTTGTGATTCCCACTCCATCACTCTTTCTATTGACATTACAATTACATTAGTTGCCTCCTCCGTCATTGCCATCATCTCACATAGTAGTTTGAAATACGTTCACTATCACAATACTGTCAACTGACCCTGCTTCCTTGCAACAAAGAGCTTGGCAGTGACCAAGTACGCATTGCTGGGAATTTTTATGGCAAGAATATTAGATTTCAAGAATATTCAAATCTTGTAGAAAGCAAAATTCTTTGGAAACAGAAGGCACATGATGTGACTATAGATGCAAATGTTGCATTTTGCATGCTAAATTTAACATCAGAGAATTTGAAGAAAGCTTCTGGATGCATGATTTGAAATTACGTGACCAGTAGGGTGATACTTGAGTGCTATCAGAAAGCCACTCGTCGTTTACGTTCCGAGCCGTAAAGATTCTGTATAGGGGCAATTCGTTTATTTCAAACCCCCTAGGGGTGCTAAACTGTATTTGTATCCAAAAAAATATCTGTAACCGATATGATATGGTTACAGGTTTTGTAGTGAAATATTCGAATCCATATCAAAAATATCCGAAAGTATATTAATTATACTGTTACGATAGTTTTAATCCTTCGATTATAGATTTGAGGTTAATTTTGATGATCAAGATGTTTAATCTTAGCTTTTCAGATATAATGAATGTACTAATGAACTCTTTTGTATCACATACTGTATTTTTTAAATACTATCTAGTTTTCTCATATCCGTTTTGTATCCGCATGCATATCCGCTTATATATCCACATGTATATTCGTATCTCCGATTTTAGCGGATATGGCTATAAATTTTCTTACTGATGTATAACTATATTTGTATCTGTATCCAAGATGGGTAAGCGGATATTGATATGGTAAGTATCATATCCGAGCCGTATCCAGACCAAATGCACCCCTGCCTGCCCTCCCAAAAAAACATGGTTCAAATCACCTCACGTGTTGGGGTGTTCTTGATCACTGTTTTTAAAGGCACGTGCCTCACTGCTTCTCATAGCCCTGTGATGCGGTGAAGCGCCCCGCATCTGATACAGCAGTGTGTTTGGGCCTCACAAGTGACCGATGCTTCTTGTAGGGTGCATGCTAGGCATATCATCATATGGTTTTGTTCTTTAATATTTCAATTGGGCCTTTATACCCAATGACTCTGATCCCAAAAAGCAAAATAAAATTGTTAGGCCTTCATAGTAGCTCGATTGAGGATCATAAGTTTGCTTCAATATTAGTCTTGATTTGACTTTTGATTTGAAGATTTATGAACTTTGCTCTTCGTTTGATGTGTTAGCATAAGAAATTGAGACCTTATTTAGTGATTTCATAGTAGATATTATTTATCTTGATATATTTTTGTGAAAATATAAAAACATGGTTTTTCGTTGTTGATAACCATCTTGAAAAATTATGTGTGGTGTGCACCTTGCTTCATTCGGGCGCGTGCATCATGTTGCGCCTTGCGCATTTACGTGTGGAGAGACTTTGCGCCCCGCAATTGTGCCTTACGCATTGATAACACTGGTTCTGATAGGAAATGTACTCGTGATAATTTTAACATATTTGTCTTAGCCAAAGTTTAACAAAGGTCCGGATTCAAAATCCAGTATGCCCTGTTCTATATGGAGACGTTCTTCATGAAGTTAGCAATTTGATTGAAGGGCTTGGACGATCATCATTTTCCATGCTTCCGATATTTTTTCCTTGGGACTTAAAAACAGTGGACACTAGGTGCAGACATGTTGCACAAAATTGTCTAGAGGTTGGTGCAGGCATATTGCACAAAAAATTCTAGAGGTTTGTTGTCGTGTTTCTCCCTAATTTTCATTGATATGTAGTCATTTTGTGGATAGGACTCTGTAAGCTAGAATATATAGGCTTGTCATTCTTGATCTGACATTTTTTTAATGAAACATAGGCTTTATGTTGAGCTGTCCTTTAGAAATCAGAATTTTTTGAAGAAAGCACTAGATGTTTCTTTGTCTCTTTGAAGAATATGGAGATGTTCTCCATAAAGTACCCAATCTTGGTCGAGCGGCTCGGAAGATCATCATTTTCCAAGCTTCCAATTTTCTTCTTGGGACTTCAAATAGTGGACACTAGATGCAAATATGTTGCAAAAACATATTTCGATGTTTCTGGTCTCGTTTTTACCTATATTTTCATAGCTAGAATATAGGCTTGGCTTGGCATCCTTGATCTGACATACTTTTCATATGGAACATTTTTGGATTTCATGTTGAGAGGTTCTTTCACTTCTTTGGAGATTGGAATCTTTTGAAGAAATCACAAGATGTTTCTTTTTGTCTTTTCGAGGCAGTGGGCTATATGCATAACAGTCCTCATTAACATGACTTGTGAAATAATGTCATCAGCTTGTAGTTCATTTGCTGAAGTTTGATCTGAATGATAGACTTTTGGGTAATTCAATTTTGTATTGCTCGATTTTATGAAGGCCTCTATGAGTAGATATGTAGCTAAACAGTGTAGCCTGTTTTTTTAAAGCCAGCTATAGAAGCATGTAATATGTTAAACTACTCTTTGAGTTTGTTTCGCCTTGGATATAGCTTGTAACTTGTGAGGAGACTATTCTCTAGAGTTAAAACATGATCAAAAATTTTAAGTGAGGTGGCAAGGTCGTCCTTTATCTATTTAAGAGAGTTAAGTAATTAATCACATGCATGAATTTTGGAATGAGACAAATTAATTAGGGAGGCTTCTAGGCAGGGGTGCATACTCAAATGCTCTATGAATTTAGATTACATGCAGATTTGGCTATGTGTATGAAGACAATGACTAACATAAAATATTTTTATGAAAAGGCTTGTATGTATACCAGCATATTTGAAAGGTTTGTCTAGGTATCATCATATTTGAATTCTTGAGTATTTCATTTGGGCATATCTACCTTATAGAACACATGGTCCGTCTGTTAAGCCTAACTGATTCTTGATTTGATCTCATGAATTTGTCTTGGTATTTATGCTGGGGTGGATACAATATTGTTCTCCTCGTATATTTATTTATAACTAGTCATATTTATATGTTGCTGAGGCTGTATTTTGTCGAACATTTTCTAACTGACATTGATAAATCCTGATAATACACTGACAGCGTACACTTGACTCCTCTTGGTATATGCCGCCTAAATCAAGATTGATGTTATGTTTTTTGAATAATGTCTTTCCATATATAAACTTTTAGTGCAGAGTGGGTCTGTAAGTTAACAGCATGTATATACATAATGTTTCTACATCCTTTGATGAGCTTTTTTAGTGACATGTCTTGTGATGCAAGTGCTAATTCATCATGCCTGAGACGTGTTTTCATGTCTGTTTGCAGTGTATTATCAATCATCAGGCTCTTCCTTGTCTTCTGAATCTTTTGACACACAATTACAAGAAGAGCATCAAGAAAGAAGCTTGCTGGACAATCTCAAACATCACTGCTGGAAATAAGGACCAGATACAGGTATTGAAATGGAAGTTTAATTTCCTTTTTTTTTAATTATTGGTTAAGATATCCTGCAATGCATTTTTTTGGTATTACTTAAGGGTATTGTTCACATTGGCAAAAAGCTGGAAGGCCATCTACTTGAACATTATGATAACAAATAACTATTTGTGTTTACCATATAGCATCTATACACTTGCATTAACCGAAAAAAAAAGAATAAAAAAAGAGAGAATGCCAGGGAAAAGGGAACTGAATTATACATATTTCCCATGTTAAAATAAGCATTCCCATTTCACCGTGCAATTTCAATATGTCTTTGCCGCACTCCTTTGACCGTATTCCTTTGTGATATGAAGCAAGGTTTTGTGTTGCAGTAGCGAATTGAGCCCTTCTTTATCTGAAGATATTTATTATGGCTTTCCTTTTAGGGGCTGTTTGGTTCGCTTACATGATGTGAATTCCAAGAAAATAAACCTCTTGTCAGTTTTCCAACTTTCTCAGCCTATTTCCAAGATCAAAGCTCGGAAATGGGTTAGTGGGCTTTTAAGGAAAAAAACGAGTTGT